CTCTCTCTCTCTCTCTCTCTCTCTCTCTCTCTCTCTCTCTCTCTCTCGCGTTCATTCGCGGTCCTCTCGCTTCCTCTGTTTAATACGGAACGTTTTTGTCGATTTGCATAGCTAACCGAGGCCAGTTTCGTCTCGGCTATTTCCTGTCGCATTTTCCACGAGAACAGAACACCGCACGCGATCGTCGACCGCATTTCTCGTGGGGACGTTTCAAACTTCGCGCCCCGGAAACTACCCTTAGCCAAGTCGTTGGCGATCGAGAGAAAGAAGGGTTGCAAACAACGATCGCTTAGCTACCGCTTTCTTACGACCATCCTTCCCTTCTCCATCACCATTTACGGGAAGTTGCAAAATTATTAGTAGACGCAAGAAGTAAAAGACAATGGATGTGCAAGATAAAAATAGTTAGGAAAGAGCTTTTCAACCTTTTCACTTAAGAAATATAATATTTATAGTTTGGGCTTGTAGAACTGCGAGAAAAAGGAGTAGTGTCATTTGTAACTATGAAAGTTATTTATAATTGGGTTTTATTGTTTCTAAATTTTAGTGATCCTTTAATACAGAATTAGAAGAAATAAACTAGTAAGATATGTACGTGCATGTACATATTATTTATATGGAATATATCCCTTATAAAGAGTGCTTTGCAATTGAGAGCGCCGACAGGTTTTTTTAATAATAATTGACGCTAATTTTTTAGGAGAATAATATTTATTAAAATTTCATCAAATAAGAATGAAAATCGGTATGTGAGGATGTCTCGAGTCGCTGATTACCAATTCAATAGCAGAATTCAAAAATTCGATATGATGAACACTGCAGTTGGACAGAATTTCTAAAAAATATGACAAAATATATAGTATATTGACAAAATTCCTGAGAAAATGATTTTAGTACATATTTTATAAGGAATATTTTTGTGGGCGAACAAACACAGACAGAGTAATTAAAAGGAAGAGAACTAAACAACGTGAGCTCACTAATGAATAATCTGAACATGTATATTTGTATCTACAACCAAATGTGTTTCGCGGACTGATCACACTATGTACTACTGACTACCGAATGCCAATAATGGTCGCTCAATTACGCGTTACCTGCCAGAAAGGACCGCGATCCTCGCGACGCATCAAACTTCCTTACAATTTCTCTAAAAATTACTCTCATAATAATTGAAGCTATCTACTTTTATATAAAAATCAAAACTATTTATTTGTAATCGAAGGAGTTCACAAATATAGCAACAAGTGCTACTATATTACTCATAATCACTGATTCCCGTGCTAGCTAAGTTATGAAAACAATTTTCACATACTGTCTTGGAGTATGCTTGCTTAAAATAGAAAGGAGACAGCAACAAAATACAAAAGCAAAAAACATTTTTCACCAAAATCTAATTAAAATCGAGTACAAGAGTTGTTCCCTGAAATACCCCATCCCCCATCTCTTCTCAGATCAAGACGAAAAGAAATTAGAGTTTCAGCACTAACGAAGTTTTTTTCGTTCAGTTTGTTAGCTGTGTCCGCGAGATCGTTCGTCGACAAGTAGAGTGCAACCGCCAGTAATTTTTAGCTCGATCATCGTGAGAAAAAAAAAGGAAACGCTGAAAGCGACGGAAACTCTTGAAACGTTTCCGGGGCCTCCGATCGAGTTCGATTAACGATTTCCAAGGGGTGCCCTCTCTGTGTCTCTAATAACCCCCGCGAAATTACGCCCGCCGCGTTATTGAATCCGAGCCGTGAGCTCGATAAGAAACGCGGGTGGGTGATTAATGACGAGGCGGCACTACAGCGAGCGCCGTTACGTTTCGCCCTCTCGAAAGATTAACGAACTTTCAACGATCGGTCATTTTTTGATTTTCCCCTTGCTGGACATTCTACGTGGAACGAACTGACTTGCGGATCGTCGGCTACCGACGCCGTAGGACTAGTTTGCCAACTAAAGGACAATTTAAGTGGTCTCCTTCTATAACAAGGACAGAGATGGGCGAAATTCTTATTAAAAAGCAAAAATTCTGAATAGAGAATACGAGAAAAATAAATTTTGATGCGATACGTGCTCCATAAAAATACTGGGGAAAATATCATTGAATACACAATTCACAATGAATCATTAACTATTAGATGTAATTAATCAAATGTCAATTGAATTTGCAATCAACAATTCAATTCTATAATTATAGTAACAATTAACCTGAAAATGATAAACGAATATAATTTCAATTGAAAATTTAGTTATCAATTGCAGTTAAATGTGATTGCACTGATTCATTAATTCCATTGACACTTGAAAATTGACAATTGAGTATTAATTTCTAGGTGCAATTATCAATTGCAAATTGGTTTCGCAATTATAAAGTTAATTCTGTGATTGCAATTGTAAAATTTATGATCAATTAGACTTAACCTTCGATTATAATCGAATGTAATTTCCAAACAGATCGTGTCGAATTAATTAAAATTCCACAACATTGAAGACATGCACAAATTTAAAAAAGGGGAGGGTAAAATGGATATCTCATCTACCGGTGAAATTTATTTCATATAACCGGCAACTAATTTTTGTTTCTTTTGTTTATAAAAAAATCGCAGTTGTATCGTGACAATCACACTGTAAAAAGTCAATTTTCTTTGTACTTGTATTGTATAAGTAAATAGTTGGATTAATAGAATTACTCTAATACATTACTGCCCCGACTTTGATTGAAGTATAGAGTTAATCGAATTGGTTTTTGAAATACTCAATTCATTATTCACAAGCCAAAAAGATATAGTGATTCAGTGATCTTAACCTTTGACTAAAATTATTAAGGAAATTTATTCCGAGTATACAAAGTTTCCAATCAATCGAATCCCTTAATACTAAAATTTACAAAATTGAACAAGTGGAGTTAATCGACTTGGCTTGCGACTCAAACACTGATGTAAAATACCAGTAGTAGGACAAAACCGCACGAACCCATGGACCAACCCAATATTATGGTCGTGAGCGACACAGTGGATGACGGAACGCTAAGACAGAAGCTCGTCCGTTATTATTGCGACGAGGTACAACAAGGAGCACGACCTATGAGGACGATTACAGCAACTAGAACGAGGAGGATATCGTCGATGGAGGACCGACGAGTACAATGAGTACTCGAGATCCTGGGACAATGTGGCGCCGAGTACTCTCAGGGAACTGAATCGAAATTGAGGGCAGCTGCTTTCATCGGAGAACATACACTAGCTAACATTCTATTCGGTTACCTATTTTGCCAGTTGGCATTAGGTAAAAAATCGTCTTGTTCTCGATAAAACTCCGCGAAACACGAACTCGGATAGCACGAAAAAAGATTTACCATTTAAGAGCCTCTCCGACATACGTAAAAACTGCATCTGCGTATCATTGAATTGTTTCATAGCAAAGCTCGTGTTTGCAAAGTCTCTACAAAGATTGGTGGCTCAGATGTACGCATAATCAGGGGGCGATACTGATTTCTACGCGAAAGAAAAAAGGTGTACTGGAAACCTTTTCATATGGTTAGTAGATCTGTACTTAGAAGTTCACATATTATGAACAGCTTTAAAGAAGATGGAACACATTCAGCGGCACTCTATGAGTTAAAATAAAGAATTGTGGACAAATAGATAGAGAAGAAAGAAGATGGAACCTACTTTGTGATGTTTCATGATTCGAAATAGAGAATTGTCGCCAAATAGATAGATATGTTAGCTAAACGGTTCATTATTCATATTAGGTTTCTTTTAATTATGAGTAATAGAACAGGGTGAGGCTTAAGATAAATTGCTTTAAAACACAGAGGGTGATTGCGAAATAAACTTTTTTAATATGTTTGATGCCGCTATAGCGGTATAGTAATCAATACAGGACTGTTGTTGCTCGCGACATACCTTTCCAATCAATCGAGCTTATAAGCGTGCACGTACTCGGGAGCAAGCTGACCTCCCTTAGGAAAGAGGATGAGACCTGGCGTCAAATGATTTATGATTCGCCGTTAACATGGCACAGGGACGTCCTTGTATGTTTCCTCCACCGACATGTTATGAAGTGCACTCTACGAAATTACTCGTCATTTCGGGAGTCAATTTGGCCGAAAGTTCGATCACTTTCTACCCGCAATAGCGATTCGGATGGATATACATATTTCTCGGATACCGCTTTATACAAGGTGTTTCTCGCGATACGTCGAGCCTAAGTGTTTTCGTTGAGTTTGACGATGCAAGAACCAAGGAAGAAAGTGTCACAAGTGATCAGGAGGAATTTTAGGAAACGTTTGAACTACTCTATCATCTTTAAAGTCATTCAGTTGGCAATAAAGTACATATTTCTTGTTCCATACTTAATATTATATATAATTCATATTATATACAGAGTGTTTGTTTTACAGGGTGTTTGTATTACATACTTCCCTATATAATTCACATATTTATGGCTTATTATGGTTTCTTTTGTAAAAATCGAGCTCATCCCTTCTTTCACAGAGTACATTCTAAAAATTATCTTTAGTGTTCGATAACAATCCTCAAATTAGTTGTCGTTAGTGGAAGGACTAACTGAAAACGTCGCTTAAAAACATTGATGCATTCTTAATTTATGTTTCAGAGTTTGTATTCAGATACGATGTGCCTTCTTCATTTAATAAGGATCCCTGGATACCAACATCCTAACTGATTAGTTCAGTTAGATGTTTAAGATTTCTCACGAATGCTAACGAGTTTAGTTGCAGAGTGATTGACTATATTCGCTTTTATTCAGTCCCATACCTCAGTTGATAAACCAGTTCACACAATTGGTAATGTGAAACACTTGG